GATATATATATTCAAATCAAAATATTCAATTCTACTCATTATAACAAAAAATTGGATGTCTCTTTTGGAAGAAAAAAAGGTGGAAACATATTTAAACGCGACAACTTCGGGGAAACCCACCAAATTATAAAGTTCGAATAAATTATCATTAGCCTAATTATCTCTACTTTCCAACTCGGTATCATACATACGACTACGAGCACTAATATGTGCCATTATAACTCGACAAAATAAATAATATAACCCATTTTTTTTAAAATCAAAGACCTGTCAATCTATTTTAAATAGAAAACTGAGGAAAATAATACATAAATAACCAATCGAGAATCACGAAAAAAAAAATTATATATATTATTTCGTTGGAAAACATATTTTCAAAAACGATAGTCGTAATTTAAGTGGAAAGGGTCTAAAATAAGGAGCGCGTTGCGCGTTTCCTTGGATTGGAGTAATCAATTTGGGTTTGTCGTTACCATATTTACATTATACTCCCCTCGATTTTTTGTATTTTAAAAAAAAAATAAGAAAGGTCATATTTACCCTTTAATTTTCCATTGGAATTTGATAGTTTTTATTAAGGATAAAACTAGAAAGTATTTTAAAATTTTATCTAAAAAAACTAAACAACAGTTATTTAGTAACATAAAAATAGGTTACAACTTAAAATATTATGAAATGAGAGTAAAATATTATCTTTTCCGCTCCCCGCTGCGGTGCCAAGCACACAAAAAATATATAATATTTAAGGTTCCATCTAAACGAATTTAAAATTATTAAAATTTCATATTATCTCACGGCCCATCACATAATTTATTTATTTTTAATGGTTTTTTTTATTGTGTATCTACTGCACATGGAGACTTAAAATAGAAATTATCAGGACAACTTGCGTGGTTCTTAACCTCTGATACAGTCACAACCCTACATTGCCAAAAAAAATCTAAATAAACCCAATAAAGGGAAAAAAAAAAAACTACGTGTCAATGGACTACAGTTAAAGCCGGAACCAGTTTCAGCCTTGAATAAGAAAAAAAAACAAAAAGAAACATTATATTATATTCACAATCATATATATTTGGGATTGAAATTGGAACTTTTACAGAAATTGAATATGAAAACAAATTATAACTAACGAGGATGAAAAAAAAACTTTTTTTTTAATTAACTGGCTGATGAGGGTTAATTCTTCGTAATTATATTTTCTAATTCATAAATCAATAAATTTCACTCAAGCGAGCCTCTTTATTTATATATAATATTTCAATTAATAATTTCCTTCTCAATTAATTATATTATCTAATCTTTCTCACAATTTTATTATAAATTACTCCCTTGTTTCATTTTAGACGACGTTTTAGAACAAAAATTTGGTTTTAAAATAAATGACGTTTTCATATTTTTAATGTAATTTTTAATATTTTTTCTAAATTTATCCTTAGTTAATAAGATTTCAATATTCTAACAATTATCTATACAAAATATTTTTATTTTGGATAAACATTTTTTTTTAATTTGTGTGTAGAATTTTTAAACTAACATGAAACGGAGAGAGTAATAAATTTTATATAATATTACAATAATTTTTATTAAAAAATAATTCGTATTATTTTATAAATCAATCAAAATTTAGGAAACTGCAATGCAGAAGGATGAGTTGGCTTGACCCGAATTTCACAAATGTTTATTTATATATAAGATCGCATTAAAAGGAATTTTAAAGTTCCAAATTTACCGGAGATTGATGTATAGAAACTGAAGTAGGGATGAGGTTGTGACACGTGGTGTCGCATGGATACGCGCAATCAATCTCTTTGGATATCTTTCGCCCATAATACCAATCTCCCACCGCTTCTGCAATTGTCTGAAAGACAATAAATATCTTGTAAGATCATCCTCAATTGTTGTTGGTATAGAAACCGGTTCACATAAAGAGCCAAACCGGAGTCCCGGTATTCAGTTCTGGTTATTTCAAAACCGGGGAAGAGGGTTCCGGGTTTACCTTGTTGTGAATTCTAGGTGAATCAATGGCGAACCAAGTCTCTTGCAGAGCACTTTGGCAATGATCAAAGCATGAGTTGATGAACATTCCTCCTGTCCTCGAGTTTTTAAAGAAATTCATCAGAGCTCCCAACATATCTCGCCTGAAACCTGATAGAAACCCAAAACAAAACCGGCGGTTATGCGTTATACCGGGCCAGACAATTTCAGAATTGTACTGCTAATTCAACGGTTCGGATCATTCCATCCGACGGGCCAAATCCGATTTTCAGAGCTATGCCCTGTAATTGATCCAACTCTAGGACTTGAGAGGCGATTTGTTTTAGTTCGGATCGGTCTGGTTCAAGGTTCAAACCAAACCGACACATACCAAAACTGTGATTAAGATAGAAAGGAATGATACAAAATTGTGTATGAGATTGAGGTGGGAAAATGTTTGAACCTTGAAGAGCATCGAGCTGATGCGGATTACACGCAGTTGCATTAAGCTTGCATCGGTTCCAACGTCCGGTCCGATCGGCAGATGGTGGAACTAACCCATGATGAAACTGTGTAACAAATTTGTTAAACCGGGTTAGATTTACCAAACTAACCGGTACCGGTTTCAATAACCAATAATTGATCTGTCCTTTCACATGTCTGTCTTCGATGGGAACTAACACCAAAACTGGCACATGAGGAGACACCCGAACATATAGCCAGATTTTCAAGATAAACCAAGAAGGGTATTAAGTACATGAGATTTGGTTTTCGGTTTGGTTATTCTCTATCTGAATTCTAGAACATTTTCTTAGCTATTATCTTCACTTTCTCACCGCCCAAACACCCTGTCCCAATCATTTTCACAATTTCATTAACTCGATAAACTGCTTAAAGAAAGATCGAAAAGAAGGACGAACCTGGAAAACATCATAGACTGAGTTCAGGATGAAAAATGGCGTTTTGATAAATCGCAACACATATTGCGGGAAAAAACACTGCAAAGTTATTATTTTTTTTAATGATTTAGAGATTGTTTTAATAATTTTATATAAAAATAATCTACGAAACAAAAAGATAGATATTTCTGGGATATTAGATTGTACCAGAGACGGGTCTGGATAAAATGAACGCATGCATCTTGGATCGAGGTTTTTCTGCACACCCTGAAAAGTCCGGTCCTCAAATATAAGAAACTAACTAAAATATTCGAACCGAGTGCAGACCGAACCGGATTGAACAGCAATACTTTGTTTGGTTTGATTTGGTTCGGTTTACTAAAAGTAAAATATTCACCTAAGAAAATAGAAAGGGTCAAAAAGGAAAGAGAACATACCTGTAAAGAGACAAGTTGTTCGTAAAAGGATCTCATGGTCCGGTTTGATGCTACATCGATTCTGTAAAAAAAAAACAAAAACCGGTTCATAAATATACCGATTCCAGTACGGTGAAAGAACGATTTGGAACAAGAAAACTCACGCGTCAAGAAAGGCATCGGGACCGCAGCAGATTCTGATAGAGGGGCCCTTGTGCGAAGATTACTACAGAATCAGGGATTACCTCTATTCCCAGTTCTACCTCTTGTAGTGATGATGCATGTGGAGAGTGGAGGGGGGAAAGGTAGGGCTTACAAGTTGACGCATCTGCATTTTACATTGAGAAATGGAAGGTTTCAGTAAGTTCACTCACAATCGTCTTTTGTGAATTTTGTTATTCCTTTCTTTTGGGAAAACTTTTGTCTCGTTTTGAGTGAAATCTTTACTCGGGGCACACCAGCATATTCCTCTACGTGGTGGATTATTTGAAAGAAAAAAAATGTTGCTCTTATATACAAAATACAGCGCGGACAAACTAATTTAACCGTTGAAATTGTTTAGTTACGTGATATTTTATTAGATATGATAATCTATTTTTTTTTAAATATCAATATTGATAATTATACCAAAGAATTATTAATCTTGAGATGTTTTCCTTGAAAAAATGAACATCCATTGCTCGTGGGGATTGGGGAGGTTAAGAGAGAATAATACCCCGTTGTCAAATATGTTGTCTCCGGCAAATGAAGCTCCATCGCAGTAACGTAGCCTCACTTTGTTCCAGTTGTAAAAATCTGTCGATTAAAAGTCGGTACATTTTTTAATGTAGAAAAATTTATATAAATGGCCCTCTCGTATATACGTGCATGTATATATACACACACACATATGACATGTAATAGCGAACATGAGATGGGTTTCCCTCCCCTTATCCAAGGACTACTATTGATAATTAATGAGATGGAGATGCGTTGAATAACACGCAACAGACCATTCGATCAATGTTGAAACCGAGGATGAATTAACTTCTTCGTGGGGACGTAACCTAAAATTGGGACCCAGAGAGAGAGAGAGACATATGCCATGGACCATCACTCTCTATCAATATGTTATATATATTCAGTGTATGCATGTACGTACGTATGTATGTATGTATGTATGTATGTGTGTGTATGTATGTCCTACAAAGAGAAAAGTGTAAACCCACGATGCAGCCGAGCGGCAACCTTGATAGAGACAGACTAAGCTGGACTCCACATGCCCACGGGTAGAAGTAGATGACGTTGTTACCCTCCGAAAGATCAAAAACCATCCATACTAAGGTGGGTAAAACAGTAATTTAAGTGTCGAGGTAGGTCGAGCGTGGTTTTCTCATGGAGAAGAAGACAAATAAATAATGATTATTTTATTAAAAAGAAAAGGGTTGAACCGTCGGTCTAATGAGCTTTTTGAGCCGTCACGTGAAAAAGGCTAAGGAGACGAGACGGAACATGTCGTATGCCTCTTTATTTCTAAAATAAAATATAATAATAATAATGAAAGTTGAAATATTGTTATTTTACATAAAAGAATATTATATACTGATACTAGAATGAATAAAAAACAAGAATGCATATGTTATCTGAGAGAAAAAATAGAGGAAACAAAAAAAAACACGAATTAAATAAAATATATACTTTTTTTTCAGAGACAAAATTATTCAAAAATAATTTTACAAAAAATTAAAATTTTAAAAAAAAGTCTCACGAGAAAACTAATTTCCACCAAAAAAATGTATATTGCTGCTGCTATCTAGGAATAATGTGGCATTAGGGACCATTAGACCATGGTCCGTTTCCACTTTTCATTGATATCTAATAATTCTACTATTGAATATATATGTATATAAATATATGAAGCAAAAATATTATAATGAAATTATTAAAAACGAGAAGTGAGTAATGCGGTGGTCCGTACCTGGGTTGAGAGCGGCATTATTGCTCATGATGCCGGAGAAGACGGCACGCTTGTCCATGAAACGTGTCGAACCGCGTCGGCTCGTCGCTCTCTCCGCGCACGATGCCACGTCATTGCACCACCCACCTCCCTTCACAATTAATTATTATTTATTTAATTACACTCTAATTTCCTTATTTGATTAACTAATTAACTATGATGTAGTACAACTCCACGCAAGCATAAATATATTACTTTAAAAAAAATATAATAATGTTTGGACCAAAACATTAAATATTTGGTTTCAGAAGAATAAATTGTTTTTATGATAAAAATAAATAAATTGTTCGTTGTCGTATAAAAAGAATCTCATGTTATTATCTAAATGCATATGGCTAGTAGTAGATAAATCAATAAAACTTTAATATGTTGCGGAGTAAATTAACATCGTTAGATCAAGTGAGACAAATGGAAAGGACATGTACTAAATGGTTTCAATTAAAAATTGATACCACTATCCAAACTTCTTTTATTAACAATAGATATATTCCTACGTTTCAAGGATAATAGTTTCGGTTTCAATTCATTTCCTTTTCAATTATTTTAAAATTTTGGTTACAAAATTTATTTCAGGATTTTATATATATTTTTTAATTCAATTGGTATTCAATCTTCATTTAAAAAATATTTATTTTCTCAAAATATATTATATTTTATTTATTTTAATTTTATTTTATTGTTACGGTGAAAACTCCAACCGATACTTTTCAAATGCATTGGCTGGGTAAAACTCCATCCACATGTACGACCACGTAATATACACATCAAAATAAGACGGTCATAATTTACGGACGACAGGTGAGTGGATAAATAATCGAATCCGACAATCCGTAATTTTTGGGATGATAGGCGAAATCCTTACTAATTCACCTAGAGGTTTCTCTCAAATATAACTATTTTTATTCGTTTTAACACAGTTAAAACAAACATTTTTACACCATCAAATCATTATAAATTTGCATAATCCATGCGCCCATGTAGATGCATGGTGCCTACATGATTTAAGACGACAAAAGAAGTATTTAACATAAAATCTAATGCACCATATCTAAAACATCTGAATAGCAAAATCGAAAAAAAAATAAAAAATTTTAAAATTATAAAAAGTCATTTAAAAAGTTGAAATTCAGATGGTATTTTTGTCCATTTATAATTATTAAAAGAGAGAATATTGTAAATACATAATAAATAGATGACGTGGATATCACAGTCTAACCCGCTCGAAACAACATGCGTTTGGGGCTTAAGTAGGGCTGGGCACGGGTCGGGTACCCGCATTTTTGGAGATATCCGTCTTCGTTTTCGTCTTTGCGGGTTTCAGAGAAATGTTATCTCTGTCTCTATCTCATAATATCCGGGTACCCGTCCAACGGGTACCCATAACTAAAAGACGGGT